AATACCAAAAAATAAAATGCAAAAAAAAAAAAAAAAGGGGGGCACAGTAATTTTAAAAAAAAAAAAAAAAAAAAAAAAAAAGGAAAAATTTGTGTTAACTTAAGAGTTAAATTTAAGTTTTGCACATTTTTTTACTCACCTTTTCGGGAGGCCTCAAAGCTATCAAAGATATTTATTCTCTGGATGTCATAGGTCAGTGTGGTGTTCGGGAGCAATGTGCGGTTCCTGTTGATTGTGTTCAAGGCAAATTTGAAGGCTAATTCCTCTGCTCCGGAGGGGCCACTCTCAATGGATTCAAAAATTCCCCCTAAAAGCAAAAAGCAAAAAAAAAAAAAAAAAGAAAAGAAAAAAAAGAGCAAAATAATGAGTCTGTAGAAAAGAGCAGGAGGCCTCAAACAACAACATGATCAATTTAATTCAGGCAATTACAGATCAAACGGTGCATTCATTTTTTTCCCCCTCCTAAATCCATAATGTTGATATCCACATTCAATTTGGGTGTATCTGTGCATTAAACAGATTTACAGTGAGGATAAGATGCTTAGATATCAGGGGATTTGCATTCTGTGGGAGCAGTCAGTGTAATTATAGGCAATTATCTGCACTGGGAGGTGAGATCAGGGTTGGATGCCCTTCCTAAATTCTTTCGTGCAGACCGAGAGGTTGGCTCTTACTTTTTCTTCCTTTAATTTGAACAATTTTCAAATAAAATGCAAGCAAATGAACCTAGCCAATAGAAAATAGAAGGATGAGCGAGAGAGAAAAAAGCAATGGAACAATTCATGAGGAGTGAGGAGACGACAATAAAGAAGGCCAGTCAAATCACAAATGAAGATACAATCAGGACACCAATGTCTAAAATCCTTATAAAATGCCCATAAAAAAACAAAGACTGTATGAAACAGCAGCATTTCAGCATCAGACAAATAACCGCTTCCACAAAGTAAGGTGCTGTCTGCCTCTAACAGCTCCCTTCAGACTTGTCAATTATTCTGGGCTGAACAGAGATGATTAAAGCTCCAGATGTTCCATCTCCGTGATTTACAATCCCAAACAAACGAAAGCAGCGTTTGGAGCCGACTCACAAAAAATGTGCCACATTTTGTGATTATGTCAAAACTGATTTAGGAGGATTCATTAAACAAACACCACATGTAAAAAAGAAAACAAAACAAAAAAAAAAAAAAACATGTGGGTTGACTGCCATCACAGCCAAGATGCGCAAGGCTTGAGTGAGATTACATTTTTATTCATCATCTAATGTCTAAACAGTAAGAGAGGAGGGTACATATAAATTTAGAATTGAATTAGGTTATGGAGAACGATGGCAAAGTATCTCCTTACATCTATCTCTAGGATGGATGTGAATCCCAAAAAAAAGTGACAGTTATTGAAAAATTCCTTACATAAATATAGCAAAAAAAAAAAAAAAAAAAAAACATATGTAAACTACCTACACACCCAAATGTTTTCACATCTTTACTTCTGTTAACTGTGATGATTTTCCACTTGAAGCTGATGGAAGCACGTCATTTACTTTTAATATTACACCAAATCGAATAAAACAAAACAATTTTCATATAGAAATGTGGGCTTAATGTAAAGTCATTTTTAAAAATTATTTTAATCTGACAAACAAGCCCCACTGGAAGGCATTTTCGAATTTACAGAGATATGTCCACGTACGAAAAATAAACAGGATAAAAAAAAACAACTATATTTCAACATCCCACACCTTTGAAAGTAAACCAAAAATCTTAAGAAAGCTTATGGAATTCAGACTTAAAAGGGAATGTTTGAGAGTTAAAAGATGAAAGAGGGCAGTGAGGGTAGTGAGAGCAGCTCTGCAAAAATTCTCTTGGGAAAGAGAGGGGAGTTCGGGAGTCCATCCACAGCTCTCCTCTTCTCAGAGGGCAGAGAAAAGGATTGACAAAATATAAACCGAAAAACTCTAAGGCTTGTTTACTGGTGCCGTGACATGGTGAGAAAATGAGACTGAAATATAGAGAGTTTTTTTTTTTTTTTTTTTTTTTTTTTTAAAGACCACAAAAAAATAAAGGGGGGAAGTTTTCTTGTAATGGACATTTTAGTTAAAAAANAGAGAGAGAAGTCTGTCTCTTTGTTTCTGCTACAGGCCCATGAAGGCATCTCAGCTTATTAAGGTGACGCCACCTGTTTCAGAATCCAGGCAGCCATCTCGTGTCCACAATCAAAGATGACATGAAACTCCTTTGCCTTCTTCATCTCCTTCAAAAGTGGCTTGGCGTCCTTGGTCTCTGTGGGCAGCTGCCGGATCTTCAAACGAATGTTGTATCGCGACGGAGCCTTGATCAGCTCCTGCAGTCGAATGAGACCTGCGGACAAAGAGGACAGCACATAGCATGAAAGAAGAGTTTTAAAGATGGAGCAAAATACCGTGTTTGATCTGTCGCCATTTTGAAGCATCTCTGATTCTAAGGGTTGCCAAAAAAAAAAAAAAAAAAAAAAAAATGGAATCGGAGTTTCTCAGCAGAAAAAGGCTCATATGCATGCCTTTCTAATCCACACTCTATTGATCCTCCTACACATGCTTGGCAAGCAAACAGACTGCTACAGACCTATCAAGAGAATGCTACACCACGCCACCACATTGCTTTTAAACCAAAAGCGCAAAAACATGAAAAAAAAAAATAAAAAAAATCTCGATCTGCACCCTCCTACATTAACTCCCAATCTGACAGCAGCCTGCAAAATGTTGATTTGCTCCTTGTGTTCCACGACACCACACAAAAGCGCCGAATGGGTTCAATTTTATCCTGATGGAAAGCCGCGGTCAATTCTGCCTCTTCTGTCTTTTCACACACACTTCAGATGTGTTCTGACGAGAGAGAGAGACTGTTTGCCCAGCTTGTACTTCCCCCCCCGCGCCCCCCTGTGGGGGAGCCTGACGCCGCCGTCACATATTCAGCTACAATCTTCACCTTTCATTTCTCGACCGCACACTCAGGTAGACGGCTCTCCAGGAGACTCTGTGATGAGATTACAATGAGTTTCTCCCTCAGTAAAGAACTTCAGAGTCCAGGGATGAAAGGGGCTGGATTGATAGGAGAGATGATTACTTGTCATGGGTATAAAAATGGATGGAGCAGAAAGGGTAGTTTGAGAGGGAACTGGAGAGAGATAGGATTTTTTTCTTTTTTTCGTTTTCTTCCTGTGGAACCTCTTTAAGTTAGCTCAGCCATTTTTTTTTTTTTTTTTAGGCAAAGTGCTGTGTGCGCAGTTTAATGGCCTCACTGTGCGTACGGCTCGGTCTCCCCGAGGCTCCGCAGAAAAATTGGTGTGAAACAGATCCACGCAAGTCTAGTCGTGAAAGGAACTACAGTAGGAAGGGATTCTAAACCTCCGAGAGTTGTCCCCAGGTAATCCCTGCAGATCCCCACTCTGGGGCATGTCTGCTTCTCCCTGTTTTTGTTCGTGATGACACTTTGGGAGGTGTTAAGCAAGGAAAAAAAAAATCTGTCAAGGGAGCTCAGCGTTTGGGAAACATTGTCAGTGTGGATGTTTGTGAGCTCTGGCTAATGCCTTCAGACTTTCCCCCTGGATCTTCTAACGGCCGTGTGTGAATATTTTATCCCCTCCGATAGTTTTTCCTGCCAGCCGTCAGATAGACTCCAATCAGCAGTGCAGGGCCCTGGAGCATGAAGCTGTGTGATTACAGCCTGAGACTGGGACCGGGCGGGAAGCGGAGCGGGGCTACGGAACACGGCTACGCAGCTGTCACACTCTTCAGAAAGTCAGGTGTCGTACAGCAGAAAAAAAGAAGAAAAAAAAAAACAAAAACATATCCAGACAGGAGGCCCAAGATACCTTCGACTGACAGAGAGGGGAAAGCGAGAGGTTATCTGTTGGAATCTCTGGGGAGGGGGGGGGCAATTTTAAAGGGATTTAGGATGGGAAAAGCGCCAAGCGCCGAGGAGTGGAGTGACGAACAGTGATGAAGATGAGTCAAAATAATGCGGCAGTTGGGCTTTCGAGACACAAGCCGAGGTTGTAATGGTGCTAGAATGCGCCAGGATTGTCTCTTTCCTGATGCTTTTCACATTTTGTCATGTCACACCAACAAACTCCAAATAATTTTTTTATAGAGACCGTACGAGACAGACCAACATAAAGTAGCTCACAATTTAGACGTGGAAGCAAAGAAATACATGGCTTTCAGAAATCTGTACGAATAAAAGCCCGGAGAATCTGGAGTGCATTTGCACTCGGCCCTCCTCTCTCCTGTAGAAACACCTTTCACTGCAATTACAACTGCAAGTCCTCTGAGGTACGTTCCTACCAGCTTTTCACATCTGCAGATTGACAGCTTTGCTCATTCTACTTTGCAAAGTAGCTCAAGCTCGGTCAGACTGCACAAAGGGGTGTCTGTGAACATCAGTTTTCGAATCTCCTCACGGATTCTTAATTGGATTTAGGTCTGTACTTAACAGGACTATTCTTGCACACGAAAACGACCGAGTCGAAAGTATCACTTTGCATCTCTGGTGATACGTTTTGAGTTCCTATTCGGTTGGACAGTGAACCTCTGGCCCCAGTCTGTATTTTAAAAATGTTTCTTCAACAATCAGTTTGTACCACTTTAAATGGTTTTAGTTTTACTCCAAACACTCCGTTTTGCACATCATTTAGTTTGTTCATTTTTGATCTCGTATGTCCGCTTGTGACTTGTCTCAAACTACAGACAAGATGTCTTATGGTTTGGTTGCACCAGTGGCTTTCTTTGTGGTTCTCTTCCATTACGGGTAGCATTTTCGTGGAAGAGTAAATGTTGTACCGTCAAGAGATTCTTCCATCTGAGCTGAGGATCTCTTCAGCTCCACCATGTTTACGAAAGGCCTTTTGGCTGCTTTTTAAATTAATGCTTTCCTTGCAAAGCCCTGTCAACGTGAGTTGGTAGTAATGTTGAGGGTTGTTTGAAGTTGTGCCATACTCCCAATATTCAGATGATGAATTGAGCAGTAAACTTCACTCCAAACTATTAGTCTAGCCTGTCTGCTGTGCTTCTTGGTTTTAAAGATGCCACTTGTTCGTACACGGAAACCATTTTGTCTAATTAGGTGACCTCTGGAGAAAATGTCTTGTTCAAAAATTCGTTTAAGGAAATCAAACTGAAAGTGAGTGAAGCACATGTGCACTGCACCACTTCTTTTTATTCTTTATTATTTTATAAAAAAAAAAAATAAAAAAAAACTTAACACGACAAGAAGTCTTAAGGGGTACGAATTGTTACGAAAAGCACCGCATGTGGACAAAAGCAACAAATCAATGTTTTATATATTTAGCGGCACAATTACAAATGACAATTGCAGGGCACGATCCAATCGAGCGAAGCAGGGAATGAATTCATTAGACAATCTGTCTAAAGTCTAGAGTGCGATTCTCCTTGCGTCTCTTTGTAAATTACTTAGATTTAGTTGTCAGCCACATCACGCCAAATAGCTCATAAATTGAGGATAAGCATTTGAATATTGTCATCTTCTCCGGAGCGACTACACTGCACCTCATAAAAGTATCACTGTACTCAAGCTAAAATATGACTCGCCTTTTAAAATGCATATTATGAGGCACTCCACAAAGTTACAGCACAGACAGAATAGCTCGCAGACACATTTGATAGCCACCCTCGGAGATCAAGTGTCTCTGTGTGTTATTAATGGCTGTTGTCAGCCCCCACATACTACAGTTTTGCATTGCATTAAGCTGAAGAGACACAGGGTCATTCTGGGTAATTTTTTTTTTCTGAGTTTTATTTCTGTCCTACTGTTCAGTCTCTCGGAAGACTGACATTGGCAGCACCTGGAGGAATAAGACAGAACAGTAAGCTATTGATTTCTGAATTAACTTGACAGGTTACAAAGCGTCCTCTGAACTCTCGGGAGCAGTGTGGCACTTTGCAGTTCATCCGCTCCCTGTTTTTTTTTTTTTTTTATCTTTATTCCGAGACATTTTACGGTGTGAATGCAGAGAATAAGGACAGACACCGACTGTACCTGTACCTGTGCTGTCGTCATAGACCACGGTGACAGTTCTCCACTTGAAGAAGTGCACCAGGTCGAGGATGGCTCTGCTGAGGGAGGAGAAGTCAGGATACAGGCTGACATAGTACGAGTCTCTGTTGTCAGACACTTGATGCTTCCATTTGGTCTGGATGTGGGGCACTCCCAAAGCGTTGCAGATGGACTGGACTGCGTTGGCAGAGGAGCTGTGCGAGGGGCCAAAAATGGCTGCCACTCCAAGAGAAAGCTGGTCACATGCTGGCATGGAAGAAAGCAGAAGTGTACATTAGGTCAGTTTTCTTTTTCTAGTGGGAATCTAAATTGAATCATGTTTCACTAGATTAACTTCAGTACTAATTTTTGCACAAAGATGTTGTCACACGAGGAGAAGTGTATCTTGGATTCATAAAACGAATTAGAAGCTATACATTATATGCCATATAATAAAATAGATACATGTACGTACATGTTGATGAAGACAAATATTTTTTTTTAATTTCAACGTAGATATATATTTTTGCTTTTATTAGATCATACTTCTAAGTTTCTTTTTCAGATGCAGAAACACAAACGTTTACGGAAGCTAATTTAAAAACAAGCCATTTCTGTCTTCTAATTAGATTATGCTTTTGTACACATAGTAAAGCACCGCCAAAATTACACTAAGCTAATATAGTTGTGCAAGAAACTATTGCATTTACGCACAACTTCATTTAAATGCACCAGATTTTCCATTGCTTTGAGAAGCAAATGGAGGAGCCCAACAGAATGATTTTGGACATTTTGAGCCAAGTTTCCTACTTTTGGTTAAAAATCCACATGAGATAAGAGGGGAATTTTCAGGAGTCTTATAAAAAGGAATAATTAGAACAGCAGAAGCCAATTAAAACTTGCTAGGACTTCCAAGGCATAAGGTTATGCTGTGAAATTTTAAAGTTCAATAAAGTACCATATAATATAGTGCAATACAATAAAATATAGGGGGACACAGTAATTGTAAAAAAAAAAAAAAAAGGAAAAATTTGTGTTAACTTAAGAGTTAAATTTAAGTTTTGCACATTTTTTTACTCACCTTTTCGGGAGGCCTCAAAGCTATCAAAGATATTTATTCTCTGGATGTCATAGGTCAGTGTGGTGTTCGGGAGCAATGTGCGGTTCCTGTTGATTGTGTTCAAGGCAAATTTGAAGGCTAATTCCTCTGCTCCGGAGGGGCCACTCTCAATGGATTCAAAAATTCCCCCTAAAAGCAAAAAGCAAAAAAAAAAAAAAAAAAAAAAAAAAAAAAAGAGCAAAATAATGAGTCTGTAGAAAAGAGCAGGAGGCCTCAAACAACAACATGATCAATTTAATTCAGGCAATTACAGATCAAACGGTGCATTCATTTTTTTCCCCCTCCTAAATCCATAATGTTGATATCCACATTCAATTTGGGTGTATCTGTGCATTAAACAGATTTACAGTGAGGATAAGATGCTTAGATATCAGGGGATTTGCATTCTGTGGGAGCAGTCAGTGTAATTATAGGCAATTATCTGCACTGGGAGGTGAGATCAGGGTTGGATGCCCTTCCTAAATTCTTTCGTGCAGACCGAGAGGTTGGCTCTTACTTTTTCTTCCTTTAATTTGAACAATTTTCAAATAAAATGCAAGCAAATGAACCTAGCCAATAGAAAATAGAAGGATGAGCGAGAGAGAAAAAAGCAATGGAACAATTCATGAGGAGTGAGGAGACGACAATAAAGAAGGCCAGTCAAATCACAAATGAAGATACAATCAGGACACCAATGTCTAAAATCCTTATAAAATGCCCATAAAAAAACAAAGACTGTATGAAACAGCAGCATTTCAGCATCAGACAAATAACCGCTTCCACAAAGTAAGGTGCTGTCTGCCTCTAACAGCTCCCTTCAGACTTGTCAATTATTCTGGGCTGAACAGAGATGATTAAAGCTCCAGATGTTCCATCTCCGTGATTTACAATCCCAAACAAACGAAAGCAGCGTTTGGAGCCGACTCACAAAAAATGTGCCACATTTTGTGATTATGTCAAAACTGATTTAGGAGGATTCATTAAACAAACACCACATGTAAAAAAGAAAACAAAACAAAAAAAAAAAAAAACATGTGGGTTGACTGCCATCACAGCCAAGATGCGCAAGGCTTGAGTGAGATTACATTTTTATTCATCATCTAATGTCTAAACAGTAAGAGAGGAGGGTACATATAAATTTAGAATTGAATTAGGTTATGGAGAACGATGGCAAAGTATCTCCTTACATCTATCTCTAGGATGGATGTGAATCCCAAAAAAAAGTGACAGTTATTGAAAAATTCCTTACATAAATATAGCAAAAAAAAAAAAAAAAAAAAAACATATGTAAACTACCTACACACCCAAATGTTTTCACATCTTTACTTCTGTTAACTGTGATGATTTTCCACTTGAAGCTGATGGAAGCACGTCATTTACTTTTAATATTACACCAAATCGAATAAAACAAAACAATTTTCATATAGAAATGTGGGCTTAATGTAAAGTCATTTTTAAAAATTATTTTAATCTGACAAACAAGCCCCACTGGAAGGCATTTTCGAATTTACAGAGATATGTCCACGTACGAAAAATAAACAGGATAAAAAAAAACAACTATATTTCAACATCCCACACCTTTGAAAGTAAACCAAAAATCTTAAGAAAGCTTATGGAATTCAGACTTAAAAGGGAATGTTTGAGAGTTAAAAGATGAAAGAGGGCAGTGAGGGTAGTGAGAGCAGCTCTGCAAAAATTCTCTTGGGAAAGAGAGGGGAGTTCGGGAGTCCATCCACAGCTCTCCTCTTCTCAGAGGGCAGAGAAAAGGATTGACAAAATATAAACCGAAAAACTCTAAGGCTTGTTTACTGGTGCCGTGACATGGTGAGAAAATGAGACTGAAATATAGAGAGTTTTTTTTTTTTTTTTTTTTTTTTTTAAAGATCACAAAAAAAGAAAGAGGGGAAGTTGTCCTGTAATGGACATTGTAGCTATAAATAGCATGTGGCTGTGGCAGGGAGTGATAGAAAATGTGTGCAGGAGGCCAAAGAATATGTCATTAACCCAGGGAAGTGATATTTATCACTGTCACCGCTGTGAAGCCATACTTTAGGGTCTTTTACTCTATTTTATGGTATTTTCATTTATACTCTGTATATGGATATACAGTGTAGAAAGAAGACGTTCCAGTCCTGGACGGGAGTTATGGGTTACCTTTGCACAGCAATATAGTAAATGTTTAAACTTTTGACGTGCAATTAAGGGAACTATTTTAATTAGTTTTCCTGTTTTAGCACTCCTTTCAGACGGCAGTATTACATTGCAGACATTCCACTGATAATCTTGAAATGATTGAATACCATAAAAGATGACAGAAATTATGTCTATCTGACCTAATACATAATTATTATATGAAATCCCAGGGGTAGCACATTGAACACTGCAGGCCTATTTCAGTGAATGTGAAGCTAAGCATAATGGTGTTAAATCATGCTCATCCGATTCCTTTCAGCCGCTAAATGACTTGAACATGATTTAACAGAAATCATTCAGTGGCTTCTAAAATTATTCATACCCTGTGCACATTACCAGAGTTTGTCACCTTACAACCTCGGATTTTAGAAGCAAAGTAGCACAGATATTCAAAGTGAAAAGACAAAAAAAATAATATTTGTGTATAAATGGTTTTCAAAATGGGGCTGCACAGTGGCGCAGTTGGTAGAGCTGTTGCTGGTTCAATTCCCGGCCCAGGGTCTTTCGGCATGGAGTTTGCATTTTCTTCCCTGTGCATGTGTGGGTTCTCTCCGTGTACTCCGGCTTCCTCCCACAGTCCAAAAACATGACTGTCAGGTTAATTGACCTCTCCAAATTCTCCCTAGGTGTGTGTGTGTGTTTGTGTGTGTGTGTGTCAAATAGGGACAAGAGTCTACAGAAAATGAATGGATGGTTTTCAAATTAAAATCCGAAAGATATGGCACGAATAACCTTTTGGTCTGATATCTATAAATGACATTTTTTAAAAATTTAATTAGAGTCCATATATGTGAAATTTAATCACACTGGCTATAGCACAACTACAAATCTACCAAAACATGGAGTACCAGGTAAAGTCGTAAGGATTCATGAAAACAACGGCCAAGAGGCGCAAGGTAACTTTGGAGAAGCTGAAAAGATCCACAGCTCAGGTAATTGTTCACAAGACAACTATTAGCTACGCACTAACCGTTCCAAGAAGAAAGCCATAAGTAGTCTCAATAGTTGTTTGCCACAATACAGAAGACACAGGGAAAATATGGAAGGTCCTCTGGTGAGATGAGACTAAAATTTGTGTACCTGAAATCGATGGATATCGCACTACAGGTAACATCACCATAGTGAAGCTTACTAATAGAAAGACATCATCCTGCTTTTCTTCAGCTGAAACAGGGAAACTGTTCAGAGTTTATAAGAGAAAGAAAGCAGCTAATATATGTTAGATGTTGAAACACCCCAAAAGACTTTTGGCTGTAATTACAGCAGAGCGTGGTTTTATGAAGGATTGACTCGGCGGGGCTGAATGCACACCACACATCTCAGATTTTTTTTTTAGATGTAAAACATTTTGAAATCTGTGGCTGTTTTTTTTTTTTTTTTTCAACTTCACAGTTAAGCACTACTCTGTGCTGGTCTAATAGATTCAATTCCAAATAAAATACCCCGAGTGTAACATGAGAAAATGTTGAAAGCGGTCGCAAAAACTTGCACGCTGCACTATTTACCTTTCAAAGAATGCACAATTGCTATGGATGTTTCGAACACACTGAACAACCAACCAGAAAACAAAAATCGCTAATTTTGAGTTGCTTGCAACACTTAACATGAATACTTACATAACATTTTTTTTAGATCAAATAGCCTCTGTATTGATTGCTGTGACTGATGAATCTGACATTTCTCCTCGAGTGGACTTTATGAACCTCTAACTAGACTTTCCCCCTTCATGTCGTTCGTGTTCTATTTTTTCCTTGATTAAAGTCTAATAATACCACCTCTCTTATCATTTCCTCCATCCTCTTCCTTCTTGTTTTTGTGGTCTGTCTGATTGCAGGTGAGTGAATTACAGCTGGGATAATCAGCAAGTCTGCATCTGTCTGTGTGGGTCTGTGCGCGCACGTGTGTGTGTGTGTGTATCTGCGTGCGTGTGCGTGTGTCTGCGAGAGTGCTTCTGTACGTGTGAACTGTGCAGTCAGACCGGGTGTAAATTATGGCGCAACTGAAAGCCCAGAGTGAGTTATGAACTGAATAACCACCCGGATGAGAAAACAGGCCAGCTGATCCAAAGGTCTTTGTGTGTTTAGATGTGGGTATGTGTGTTGAGGCAATGTGCAGTTATGTGTGTGTATGTGTGTGTGTGTGTGTGTGTGTGTGTGTGTGTAGAGAGTAAAAACATCAAAAATAAGCAGAAAGTCAAAATGAACATGCAAAGCAAGACAGTCACAGTTGGATTTGAACCCTTTTAAAATCCTCTATTATATTACATACCTCACAAATAACTTTGTCACGTGTTTGCTAAATGAAAATGAATTTTTTTGAGTAATACTTTTTGTGTACAGAAATGTCCTTCACATGCAATCATAACAAAATATCAATGCGATTCACATTCTCTTAGTACATTTTTTCGTTCACAAGCTGTTCGGAGAAGTTATTAAAGCCGAGGCTATTATTTTGTGACTTCAGAGCACTCTTGAGTCCTTGCAGAGAAAATGGCGTCGGGGGAAAAAAAAAAGGGTTATTTACACACCAATGAATAGAAATCCAGCCCGCTCTTTCCACCCAAGGTTGCTCTGTACAATGAGCGATGAGATTCAGATATGTTGCCATAGTGACTCATCTATGCTATGGCGCCAAGGCATTGGCAGTTTTGGAATCTGAGCACCAGATTGGTAAAGGAGGGGGGTTATTGTGACAATATGAACAACTTGACTCCGTGACTAATGGTGCAGCAGCAGGAGGGCGGTGGGCTGCAGGGTGGCTGCCTGAGGCAGTTGGCCCAGGTATGGGCATGACGTCTCTCACTTAGGGGCTCGAAGACCTCCGCCCACCCAGCGCACCACTATTCCCCCCCGCCTCCATGGCCTGTTTCTGTCTCCCTCCATCTTTCAACAAGCGGGGATCAGTACTCAGAGCCAATAGGCAGGAGGCAAAAGTGATGGGAACGCTCCATAAATATC